CGCCCTCGCCTCTTGTCTCCTTACCTTCTCTGTTTCTATCATGTTCGCGATGCAAACCCTCCATCCAAACTTCCTTACGTAGTTCGACAGCTTCTCGATATCAACCCCCAAGCACTCTTGGCTGTCTCCCTTGGTCAATTTCACCCGGAAGTGTTCATGTTCTCTGCCTACTTGTCCCCTTGCTAGGCAGTGCAGTCCCTCCCTGTCACAACAGTTCTTGAGCTCTATCCTCGTCATGTCCCTTGGAATCCCAAACAGCAGCAGCTCCAACTTGTTTCCCTTCCACAGTTTCTGCTTCCATCCTCCGGGGGGGAGGGGGGGGCACAAAGTGGCGTGTGTTCAAAAAGAGGACGCAACAATGGAAGTTGTCTTTGCGCCTACCCAGGTGTCCCTTGGCGTACCAGTCGTAGCAGTATATACGGACAGGGGGAGGCAAATGAGGGGCGGTTGGGCCGAGTATCGCTTCTCAACGCGTGCGGAGACAACAGCAGTGATGACAACCGCAAAGACCAGACATTGCGACACCATATTACTGTGTTTTTCGCAGGTGATTGACAGCGTTTCGGAAGACGGACAGGACTTCGGGGTGACCTACATGGGCTATGGCACGGAGGGGACGGCAACCATCACAACACTCCGGCAGATCACACGATCCCCGAGGCCAGTGGCGGCAGCGGCGGCTGTCAAAGGACTCGAGTGCAGGGCGCTGTACGTGGGGGACGGAACGTGAGTGGGAGGCGGGGTGGGGTGTGCATATGTGACGTCGGGGGGGGGGGCGTACTCTTATGTTTTGCATGCCTTAGTGGTTAGACCATTGACCACGCGTCCTCGAGAGGACGGAGCATTGTTCCCACAGGACCGATCACCGATGGCCAATCGTTCCTTTCTACTTTGCCAAAGGTGGCTCAAAAATGTCTTCCCTAGTCTGTCTATCCTAACGATATCCCTTCCCGCCTTTTCAACCCACCTCCTATGCCCCACTACAGCTACCGTCCTTTCCTCTCTATTCCATGCCTCAAACATCTCCCTGTACGTTCCATCTATTTTTCCCAGCTCAGTCACGTACACTTCCCTCTCCTTCTTGTACAACGGACATTCCGCGACTACATGAACACGGTCTTCGCATTCGAAGCCGCAATCACATTTGAACTCGTCGTCTTCCTCGTCTACCGTCCTATGTCTTCGTCGACGTTCTCGAAGGCCTATGTCCCCGGTCCTGAATTTGACCTTAAGCTTTGTTCCTGCATCCATTGGTCCATGTAGGTAGTCCTTGAACCCTATTCCTTCCTTCAACATTCCGTACACTTCTAGACCCTCCTTATCCTTGGATTCTTTCCTCAGATTCTGTTCTTCTCTCTCGGCACAAGCAACAGATATCTTCTCCTTGAACCCCTGTAGACCCTCCGTTTCCAGCGTTTCATCTTCGTCGATGTCGAGCCCCTTCCATACGTCCTCTACAACCTTGACCCATTCCGTGGGTTGTCTACCCCTCTTTTTGTTTGCCCACTTCGCCTCCCATACAATTCTCGGCAACCTCTCCTCTCCCATCCCGCACATGCGATACTGCCAGGTCAGCTTCCTCGCGTCTCTTCCCGACCGTAGGGATTGGATCCCCAATTCTGCCCTCACGGCTGCATTACTTGTGCGCCTGGAGCATCCTAGGATGGTTTTCGCTGCTTTCATCTGCGCCGCCTCGAGTTCTTTCACTACCTTCTTATTTCCTTCCCATACTTCTCCGGCGTACTCTAGCGGCGGTACGATTACGCTCTTCAAAACCGTCAATTTGATGCGTGTATCGAGGTGCCGGTTTGCGAGTATTGGGTGCAGCTTCCCTGCTCGTGCTTTGCCCTTTTCCGCTACCTTGGACATGTGTGCATTCCACGAGCAGTCTTTTGCGATCTCTACTCCGAAGTATGTGTACTGGTCCACTACTGCAATCTCCTCGATCCCCCACTTCCATCTATGTTCTACTGGTTCCTCCTTGTTCTCGTTGCATACCATGACGGCACTCTTCTGAACGTTGGCAGACAATCTCCACTTATCAGTAAACTTCTTCGCCGCGTCAATTTGCAGTTGCAGTCCCTCAGGGGTGTCCGACATACCGACAAAATCATCCGCAAACAGCATTCCTGAAACCGACGTTTCCGTGTCCCCTACTTTTACTCCCTTCCGGACTGCCTCTACGACTTCCAACAGATCGTTGATGAACACCTGGAACAATGTTGGGGACAGCGTGCAACCTTGTGGGACCCCCTGCTCAATGTCGAAGAATTTTGACAGTTCTCCGTCTAGCATGACCGCGCTTTTCGTACACTCTGTCATCTTCTTCAGCACTCTCCACATTTTCCCCTTGATCACTTATTTGGACAGTTGTGTCCCGAACCCATTTCTCCATACGGTGTCGTATGCCTTTGTCACGTCAAGGAAGAAGCAGTACGTCGGCTTTCCCGCCCTCTTTCTACCTTGGATGATTCTCCCTACCGTGAATACGTGGTCTACGCACCCCCTCGGCTTGCGGAAACCTGCCTGGCCCTCACTAATGTTATGTTCCTTCTCCAATACTCCCACTATCCTATCGTTCAGCAGCTTACAGAACACTTTTCCTACTGTGTTCAACAGTGTGATCCCCCTGTAGTTTCCTGGGTAAGTCTTGTCTCCTCTCTTAAACAAGTTCACAACCACTCCTTCCCTCGTGCTACTTGGCGCATAGACTACTCATTTTTTCGGCACCCAATTGTACAGCAGTACCATCAGCTGGATATTCCCCCCAAACTTCATGAACTCGTT